GCCACTTTCCCTTGGAGAACTTTCAACTCCAGGGCAACCATCACTCAAGCTCATGGCAGAGGATAGCCAATTGATCAAGTCCTTGGCGACCTTGACGCTGGACCTACCCCCAAGCTGCATAGAGTTTTGCCCAGCCTATCCAGAGTATTTTGTTATAGGCACTTATGACTTACAAAAGGACGAGGCTGCTCAGGCCCATGAAGAGAATAGCACTACAGATCAACAGCATACCCAAACCCGTCATGGCAGTCTCGTGACTTTCCGCTTAATGGGAGACAAGGTGTAGGTTGGAATCAGAATCTGGAATAGTAATGGGAGCACATTGTTAACCTTCGATCATCGTCTTGCGAACAGAAATGAAGTTCAAACCTTGGCGCAGCCGTCTGCGATACTTGACCTTCATTTCCATCCCAGCCAAATCGATGTACTTGCAGTTGTCAACAGCACCGGCATGCTCTCCTTTCTGAGACTAGAGTCAGCTTCGGACAACGAGAGCCCTCGATTGAGCGAGATACAGGCCCTTCGTCCCCTTGGTGACCGCCAAGATGTCCTGATTCTCTCATGTTGCTGGCATCCAGATATCCCCAATATCATTGCTGTCACTGCCTCTAGTAACGAAGTCCATGTACTTCGACTCGATGAATCGTGGAACGTCATCCCTGGTGAGAGTTTGATTCACTGTCACGATGACCAGGCCTGGACAGCCGTATTCGCTCGTCGACCCCAGGAGTCTGCCGATATGCATTCATTCGAGATTTTCTCTGGGGGCGATGACTTCAAACTCCTTAGCAGCACGTGCGAATTCGACTCTGCTGGAGCCTTGTCCATCCCAGAGGCAACCAGACAAATTGGACGACATGACTATGGAGTCACTGCTATCCTGCCGTTGCACCTGAGTCAAGAAACACAGGAGGCTATTCTGGTGACCGGAAGCTATGATGACCACATCAGAGTATACGTTGTCGGACTGGCGTCTCGGCTACTTGCAAAGCTGGATCTAGGTGGTGGTGTTTGGAGGTTGAAGACAATTTCTTTTGAGGCTGATGATGATGGCCTTGGAAGTTGGAATGCAACAATTTTGGCGTCTTGCATGTATGCAGGCGCCAGGGTGGTCAAGTTTTCCGGTGACTGGTACCAATGCAAGATTGAAATTCTAGCACGTTTCGAGGAGCACGAAAGCATGAATTATGGCAGCGACTTTCGTATTTCAAGAGACGGAAAGTTGGTCCGTATCATGTCAACCAGCTTTTATGACAAGCGGTTGTGTTTGTGGGAGTTCTCCGAGGCTCATTGATGAAATTGTACAAAACACAGCCAGATGAATTCATAATTGATACAGTATAAAATAAGCCAGTACAGACAAGCTTTTTGGACGAGCAGTTAGCCATGTGTGAATACCCAAATCCTAGGAGCTGGGGAAGGGACGCGCTTACTGGATGGCTGAGCTGTCGTCACTCTGCTGATGACAGGCAGAGCATAATAGGTATGTACTGTTAAAAATGAGGTCAAAACAGATAATGCCTGTTTCAGGCAGAGTCTCTTCAGACTAGCCGTGTCATGCCGGGTTTCGCGCCCATAGACATATTTTGTATTGTTCCGTCTAGCTTCGTACATGTGAGTCCGGATCTTCCATATGTGACATCCTACTTTTGTATTTCAAAGTCTGGCATGATGTATCGATTAGATCGTGCCACAATTACATGCTCTTACTAGGGAAAGATGACAGTGACACAAACGCCAATGATTTTTATTGCAACATGAGAACGCAAAACCTCACTTGGTCAATAATCTCGTTCTCAGTTACTAAGGGAGAACTGAATTTGTCAGACTCTGGATGTTATAGTGAAACCAAGATATGTCAAAAATAGCGCAAGGCAGTAAACGGTATGTGTTGAGTATTACTCTTCAATACATTACCTATCTACGATAGTACAGGCAGGTTGGTAATTAACATATACTATTCCATACACAAGTATATGCCTGGGTACGTACTAATGCAATGTATAGCGCAAAGCGACCACAGCCTGCATGTGTTGTTTGTTGACTTAAGTACCTACCAGGTTTAGCACCTTATATGTGCACTAGCTTTGTGCAATAAGGTGCCTTGGGATCCTGATACGGGTCGTGCCTTCCGTGACCTGCAAGCTTTAAGGTATTCCAATTCTAGGCCGACACAGTGTGGTGATTGGGCGCCTGGCTCAATCTTTGCATCCTCACCACCTTTTTTTTTTTTTTCCTTCCCTCCCCTTTCTTCTGTCTCTTGCCAGGTACCCGGGCCTTTACATTTGTACTCTTATTTAGCAACCAGGAATCTTTGCAGAACCTTGCGGTGAGCTACTTTTACTCCCAAGCTCAATCCGCTCACGGTCCCGCGCACGAGGCGGCGGCAATAGTTCAGACAGCTTCTCTCCGTGCATCGCTTGGGTCTCCTGGCCCCAAAAGACCAATAGCTCCCGCCATATGAGCATAATAGTCTAAGACAAGCCCCCGGTGCTCTGGTGGATCATCCGTTTCCCGCCCATTTGGCGCTGCGCTGCGCTGCACGCGCTGCACCCCTCCACCAAGGTCCAGTCCTGCCTGGTCCGTCTGCCTGTCTGAGAGGTGTGTGGTCGGTACCTTAGGTATCTGTACTGCCTGGTAGTAGTAGTAGCTGGCTCTCTCTGCCTGCACGCGTGCTTTCCCGTGTTTGCGCTCGAGAAGAAGTAAAGCCTCACCATTCACGACTCTCTTGCGCCATGGCGTCTCAACACGTCAATGGAAATTCTGCCATGGCGGGCCTCGGAGTCGCTAATGGACATGCGGGCGACATGTCGGTCCTGCCCAAAATCCACGAAGCTCTCGAGCTCATTCACAACCCACGAGCCTCAAACCAGGACCGCCAAGAAGCCCAGCAGTTCCTGGAGCACGTCAAGAACCTCGACGAAGCCCCCTCGCATGGCTACACGCTCGCCTCCGACAAGACCCAGTCCCCCGTCGTACGCCACTACGCTCTGTCGTTGCTCGAAAATGCTATCAAACACAGATGGAACAAATATCCCGAAGAACACCAGGCTGCCCTCCGCCAGTGGGTGCTGGAGCTTGCCTCGAGCGTCTCTAGAGAAGATCCCGGATATCTGCGCAACAAGATTGCTCAACTTTGGGTTGAGGTGGCCAAGCGCGCCTGGGTCGAGCCCTGGATGGATATGGACGCCCTTCTGGTGCAGCTCTGGATGGTTCCCGACTCGGCGGTACACAAAGAGCTAGTGCTACTGATCCTTGAGACGCTGTCTGACGAAATCTTCAACTCCGACGACCCAGCCGTCACCGCGCGTGAGGGACTTCTTAGTAGGGCTTCCGTTGAGATCTTCACACCTGCGGCTGTTCTACTGGAGACCTTTCCCAACCGAGAGGCAGGCCCAGAGGTCAGATATGGTGATGAAGGATGGCTGGGCAGGATCACTCAATTTTTGAGTCAGTGCCTGTCGGGTGATCTGCAGAATAACGATGAGCTTCGAACCTGCGCCGTCAGAGCATTTGCTGTCTTGTTCTCACTGATGCCATGGGTGATCCCAAACGCCGCAACTGCTACTGGTTGCGTGCCCACCATGTGCCAGGGCTTGCGGGCCTCCCATATAGCTGTGCAAAAGGTAGGTTTCGTGCGGCTTTATCGCTCTTCATTTGGCTAATGTTCGCCAAACAGGGTGCGCTGCAAGCCATGCACGCTCTCTACTCACGCACCAGCCTAGTGGACCAAGAGTTCCTCGACTTAGTGGTGCCATTATATAATAGTCAATGTGTTGAGCTGTTTGGGCAACTTTTCCAGTGGTCAACTGTGGATGCTGAAGATATAGATGACGACAAGTATCAATTTGGCAAAAGGCTCTCAGAGCTTGTCTCCTTCCTGGGCAACTACCTCGACCGTCGATTCGCAGTACTGCCCAAAGAGCCAGAACGGGTGGATTTTCAAGGCTTTTTGCGGTTACTCCTAATGGTTGCACAGAGCCAGAGTTTGATAGTATCCATCCCTGTGCTAGTTACCTGGACGCGACTGCTGGGCCATAAATCGTTGGGGCAGAGCATTGCGGAATTACCAGATTTCATCGGTCCGCTGCTAGAGCTTTGTGCCTCGAGGCTGGTCAGATACGAGAGCCTACCAGAAGACACCCAGGATCCAACTTTTCTTTTCCTGATGGAGGATACTGACACGGTACCGGAGCGACATGCGTTCCTCGGAAATTACAGGCGTTATGCCTCAACAATCATTGAGCTTATAGTGCAGCTCAAACTGGCCGATGCAGTCTCACATGTTCTTAGACAGACGGAAAATGTGCTGCAGAATCCCTACGATGGACAAACCGCTTTCGATCCGTCCAAATATGAAAAGAACTCGCCTTCAGTCTTACGAGTAGATGCGCAGGCTACGGTAATAGAAGCTTCGCTCAGGGGCTGTTTGAAGTGGCGTGGAAGGACGGATGTCAAGCCTGAAGACATCGGCGCCCTCGAGGATATGCTCGAGGATTGGGCTAGCCGTGTTTTGTCCATGTCATTCCAGGTAAGTCTAAGCTTGATCTTAGAACGCCCTCCGTGGCATACTCATTTTGTTTGTTCAGGATCCGATAATACGGAAGCGTGTACTCCAACTCCTGGTCGTCTTTTCCACTACAGCCCTTGATAGAAAACCACGCTTTATGCTTAAGGTGTTGGAGCATATTCTCATGACGTGGCCCGCACCACAGCCCGAGTACCGACAGTACAATGAAGCCATCAAAGACTTGCAGACAGAGAGCATGCTCGAATTGCAAAGACTCGCCGCAAAAATGCCAGATCATCTTTTGGTAAGATGAACGCCTCCATTCGGCAAGAATTTTTTTTAACATTATTCTTTTCCCAACAGGATGTCTATGACCAAATCGCTGCCAAGGTCAATGACATGATTGCCTCAGGCACCATGGACGAGAAGCGCCAGATCACATATCAGACTTTTCTATTTACAATCATGTTTGTTTTCCAGCAGTCCCGATACACTTTGGAATAAATTATACTGACCAAACTAGTCACCGATGCAGCCGACTTGATCGGGATACGAAGATACAAAAGCTCCAAGAGTTTGTGCAGCCCATCAAGTCACAATGGCGCAACGAGAAGCTCAAGTCGGCTTTGGCATCGTATAGTGGATTCTGCGAGATGATGGCTTTGGACAAGGCTCAGGAATATCTGGCTAGAAGGCGAGTCCATGAAGTCGCCGACTGGGGCTCAATGGCATTGGACGATGAGGGCAAGGCTTTGCAGGCGGAAATGGAAGAGCGACAAGCGGCAGGTCACCATATCCACTGACGAGGAGCTCAGTTACTAACCTTGCTACCAGCACTTACCTCTGCGACCTACAAAGTCGATGCTTACTGCCTCCGTCGAAAAGATTGATAAGGAAACTGTCGCCTACAAGACTGCATCCGCGCTTTGGCAAGATGGGTATCCTTTCATACTGCCTGAGTTGCTGAACTTTTTGAGGTACGATCCATCATCATGCGGCACAAAGTAGAGTCAACTGACATTGATTAGTCACGCACACGCATCGGCTTCCCCTGACAGTTGGACTGGACTACCACCAGAGATGAAATCCATCGTTGGACGCGTGCTGACAGATAGATTCTGGCAAGCGGGCATCTCGGAAGGTTCCAAGGACGAGTTCTACGCTCGCGTGCTGGACAAGAAGCACACTATGGAAGGTCTTGGCTCTACCATACGAGGCTCTATCCGCTTTGTCCGGGAATCAGTCTACGCAATTCTATACTGCATGAGCCGGCTGGATATGGAGTTCTATGGCTTTAAAGAATTGCCAGGACCTCTTGCCAACGCACTAATGGCAAACTCGTACTCCCTATCGCCGCATCAACAGATCAATTTGCTCAATCTGGTTCGTTATCTCGTCGATAGCTGCCCGACCAACCTTCGCGACCATTTTCTCCCGCCACTAATGGCAGCATCCTTCCAGCAGATGGATGCCAAGATTACATCTGAATGGGAGAAGCTAGAAACGCAAAAGGGTGTCCAAGCGGGCGAGGCTGCTCTAGCCGAGGAGATGAAGTCCGAGAGTATTTTGAGGCAGCTTACATACACGGCAGTGATGATGGTGGCAGATTTCCTAGACCCGGCCAGGATGAGTAAGTCATTTGAACCCCCCTCCCCCCTTTTTTTTCTCCTTTTCCTTCTATAATCTTTTCCCGCGCCACTTTTCTAACATTAGCAGATCTGCCTGTCACAAATCCAGAGGATAGTGCGAGACGGTATCCGACGCTGCGCAAATTCTGCCTCATGAGCTCCGAGATTGTGGAGCCGCTGCTCGTGTTCTGCACACATGTCATCCGCGTACGGGATACCCGTTGCTGTAGTATCATGCTCCGAGTGTTCCGCTCCATTATTCCGGATTTCCGGGCTGTGCAAGACATGGAGATCACGTCTGAAAGTCACGGCACTGGAAACATGGACAACTCGCCTATCCCGGCAGCTACTGCCTCGCTCATTCGCGAGTATATTTCAAGTGACGTGCTGAGGGCATGTGTCCAGTCCATGAATGAACACTACTTTGTTGAGTTACAGAAGGAGATTGCCACCTTTATTGGCGCGATAATCGCCAACTACTGCCCGTTGACGAACACGCCGAAGAGTATTTTACAATCCATCCCCAACTTGAGGCAGGAAGATATCGACGAGGCAATCGAGAAAATCTGCAGCACTCAGAACTCCAAGCTCCAACGCAATAGCGTTCTGCAATTGTTTAGTGAGCTCAAGGGAGTAAGCATTTCTGAGCTGGGAAGGCTGGGCACCAGTATTGGCCCCCTGTCGTCGTCACGCAAGTCGCATGGCAAGAAAGCCTCACGAAGTCAAATGGCTCAGGAGTTCATGACCCCAGCGGTTACGCGGGGGACGAACGGGCAGACCGAGGAGGGCCTAGAAGGCGTTGCTGGTCTTTTCGGCCAGCAATAGTGGTGCTTGGTACGCACAACACCGCCGAAATCAAAGGATGGACCCATAATGTTACTAGACAGACGGACAGTACGAGGCGAAGATCATGGTAATTTATCACTACTCACGTGGCATGGGCGGACAAGGCGTAGCGGCTAGAATTCCCACGTAATACGGCTTCGCAGCTGCCATCAGATGCGGTGGGGTGCGAGCAAAGTCGAGACTGCGCGCAGAAGTAGTAACGACGCGCGGGCTTGAGATGAACAGGAAGAAGAAGACCACCCTATTTGACAAAAAGGAGCGGAAATTCCCTATTTTGGCCTAATTTCTCCTCGAGAGACACTGTTTTACGCAGGTCTTATGCTGTCTTATGCTGTTTTACGCGGTTATAAGTGGATTTATGCTGTTTTATTCTCGCAAAACACTGTTTCTCGAGATGAAAGGATATATTAACGTGTTATTAGCACTGTGTAGACCGGCTTTACCCCCTGTATTTTGGAAACCTTTTTTTTTTTAAGACTTCTCCAAGCTGGCCGAACCTGTTAATTTTCTAGGTCCATTATACGGTTTTAGACGACGAGGGTGGCCAGTCCCCATAATCTGTTATCGTATAGCAGTTTCTTTGTTTCCATCCCTTGGTTGTTTTAGTCTGTTTGATGCTGTACTGGTTTCTGTACTGGTTTCTGTACTGGTTTCTGTACTGGTTTCTGTACTGGTTTCTGTACTGGTTTCTGTACTGGTTTCTGTACTGGTTTCTGTACTGGTTTCTGTACTGGTTTCTGTACTGGTTTCTGTACTGGTTTCTGTACTGGTTGTACTGGTTGTACTGGTTGTACTGGTTGTATATATATACTGGCCGTATATATATACTGGCCGTATGTGTATTTTTTTTATTTGTACCTAGTCTTTTGGGTTGATCAAGCCCAAAAAGTACGTGTAGTGATAAAAGAAGTGATATTCGATTAACGATACCGTCGGCGATATATACGATACGATGGCTTTATTACCTGGTTGCATGGAATTTCCAGAAGATGCTATATAAGTATCGATGCCGTAATAAATTCTATTAGATTCTATATCGATATCGCATCGACGTCGATATCGAATATAATATCCTCCCGAAACAGTGTATTAAGAGAAATCTTTATTGTATGCAGTTAGCATTATGCATGTATCACCGATTAAAACACTGTTTTTCGAGGAAAACTAGGCTGGATTAGGGAAAATTTTCTCCTTTTGTTGAACTCCAGCATTTTGAGCGACCTGATTTGAAATACCAAGAAAACAAAAAAGAAGGGACGGGGGAGATACATTTTGGGTTCAACTTGTCAGTTTATTTACAGTACCTACGTACATGGACATGTGCTCTACTCTATAGAGAAATCTGCTACATACACTGCAAGCTGTGGGCAGAGAATCAAAGACTTCAATAATAATTAAGAAGAATCGTAATGATCGAGTTGTTTGGAAGTTTCAGATTACCATGACGCCACAAAAACAAAAGCATGAACTTGAATTGTTCCAGATGGCCGGCAATCAATCGGCCAATTATGGGGGACTGAATCGCTATAGTCTGGATTACACCAGCTTTAGGGGAGGGAATATAATGAACAAGGCAGGCAATGAACATTTGAAGAAAGCCAGAGAATGATTACTAAAGTGCGGTCCTCTCTCAGCAATAGCTGAGTCGCTGACCTAGTTATATGTCAGGTAGGTAGATACAAGATGTATATACCTTTCATCAATGATATGTGCATTAATATGGGCAGTAGGAAGGAAGGTACATGCTGCATTGCTGGCGTACTGCCTAAGGGTACCCGCCAGTAGGTACATGAGGTAGTTAGGGGGTTGCATCACACTAAAAGATAAAAAAAGCACTGAGTCAAGATGGGGGAAATCCCCTGCCACTTTTT